CCCCAAAACCCCAAAACCCCAAAACCCCAAAACCCCTTTCATTAATTTGTAAGTTGATAAATATTGGGTTGTTTGAATATTTAAACCAGAAATAATTCTCTATTTTTCTTTGATTTTTTCAACTCATTTCAATATTCCCTATAATCCTCAAGTCCCACCTCTTTAACTGTATCTTTACAGCGCATTAGCCCTCTCTTGCTATATCCATTGTAAGGAAATATATAATTGGGAATTTATTGCATCTTAGAAATAGTATAATTTTGATAAAACTGGTAATTAATTTAGTTTAAGAAAGTTTCTAAAATTTGAACACATCTTTATTACAAATCGATGAGGGAGTTATTCCCTCCTTCCCTGATTTGTGTTTCTCTCTTTTAATATTATACCTGTTAAAAGTTCTGAGCTTGCCTCTAACTTTCCTTTTCCCTTCCTTCATTCTATACCACTCATCAACAAAATTCCCCTTCAAAATCCAATAATTACTAAAACCCTCTTCTTCATTAATAAAATTCATACCCAGCAAGAACAAAATCTACTAAAAATTCGGAAGTTTAACAGAAAGTCATGAAGGCTTGAATGGGGTTAGGTTTTTGACTAAATGTGCACTTTAGGCTGAAAAGTTAGGAATATAGGATTTAAAAGACAAAATTTGAAAAGTGTGGTTTTTGGAAATTGTGGAGTAGAATTGGGGTTAATCCAGGATTTTGAGAAGTGTTGGGAAGGAATTGGAGTTTTGGGGTTAGGGTTGGATGGTATGGGGAAGTTGGATATTTAAAGAAGGATTTTTGGGACGGGGAGAAATCTAATGCTTACTCGGATATGAATTGTTTGGTAAGATCATCAGAAGTAGGCAGAGATAAGGAGGAAGGTGACTTATGTACAGTGGCTGATGAAGGGGTGGAATTAATAGCCTTTAAGGGCGCCCTCTTCATTGTTTTTGAAGGCGCTGAAGGGTATAAAGAATCTTTGGTGTTAGATTTTCTCTTCAAATTCTCATTACTTTTCTTCTCTTTTGAGTTTAGAGAAGATATTTTCATAACACAGTGGGAATTTAATTTCCTCTTCGTTTTATTCTTTTTTTGAATGATTCTTTTGTGTTTAATATCTTCTGAACTTGAGCTTGTACCTAAATTTAAATTATATTATGCTTTTTCAAATAGCCTTACTTTTTGCTGTATTAATTATAACATGACTATCTTCTCAATATTGTATGTTCTCCTTTGTATCTTCTAAATTGTGTTCATAAAATTTTAAATAAGATTTCTTTCAGATCAATATTTTTGCAAATAAAATATCAAATGATAATTATCTTCTTTAGATGTTTTCAAATACTTCACCTGATTAGCTTAGATCTTAATAAGCTACCATCAGTCTCTAAACAGTACCACCCTGAAACCTTTCTCCCCACAATTCATAAACTCATCCATCGAAACAACACCAGCTGATCCCACTACCCCATCCTCCTCCCCACCCAAAATACCTCAACTTCCTACCAAAAACCCAAAATTTCCCCCCAAAACCTCCTCCCCACCTCCCCAATTTCCCCAATTCCTTCTCAAATCCCACCTCTCCACTCCTCCATTAAAACCCTGCATCTCATCACAAGCCCAATCTCCGCTTGCCACCCCTCTTAATGGGGACAAACAGCGCTGGCTAAATTCCTTAAATGTATAAATTTGGGTTTAAGCCCCTGTTCTTGTGCATTTGGCTGGAGTATGAGGGAGAGAGGAAGTCAGTGTGTATGGGGTGCGAGATTAGAAGGGAATTTACCTGCTGGTAGTTCAGGCTTTCCTGTACAGCAAGTGATTTTATTCCCCATGAGGCTGGTTTGGTTTAGAAATTAATTATTCAACTGAGAGGGGTTTAAGAGGGGTTTTGGGGTTTTGGGGTTTTGGGGTTTTGGGG